GAGCACCCCAAGCATTAATAAACCCACTGACAGACATCTGTCCACAGTAGCACAAGAGTAGGGAAAAAACACTAGCTCCTGTTTCAGGGCCTCGTCCACTACCAAAACAAAGAAAAAGCATTTCTGTGCAGTCACCAAAACATTCTTTCTACAAATAAACTAAGGAAAATAAAAACAATAGTTTCGGACTTTACCAAATCTGCTTGTAAAAAGGAGGGATGGGACATCACTCAGCAGTAAATTTCACCCCAAATTTAACAGCAGTAAAATTCACCCTCAAATACAAGGAAACTTAAAATGAATTCCAAATTTAATCCAGCTAAATGGTCTATTTATAATGAAGCAAACCTAAATTAAAAGCACAGTATAAACAGCAAGTTGCTAACAATAGGCAAACAGATGTCTGCTGGGCAGGGGTGGGATGCTTCAATAAACAAACCCAAACATATCCACATGAGAAACCAAGAAGACAGAACCAGTGGAGACTCCGTGCTCAATATACTCCTCTGCATTATTTAAGTGTAGTTAGTCCTTTTTGCCCAAACACAGGGCATTATTTCAGACAAATTCATACTTTGAAGGTTTGGAGCAAATGGTATCTGTTTCTATGTCTTGAAAACAAAGAAATGCTAGGGAAGCTGAAGTTTGTTGATAATCAGTGAAGAATTCTGAATGTTAATTCCGATCTCCATCTGACTTAAACTAGTGTAAAGCCAAATCAGTTCAGTCATTCACTAAGAGTAAGAGCCAAGTATGATTTAGCAACTGAAACTCAACACAGATGTCTGAAAATGCAACAGGAAGAGTCCTGTTCATCTCTGCTATCAGAACGGGGAGGGAGCAGTGGAGGATGTGCCTGTTCTGACATCCATGTGAAACCCTTTGGCACCTCCAGGATTCCTGGGCACTCTCTTGAGATTAATGGCTGCTATTCAGAAGTCAGCACCAGCTGCTGCCAGAGTAAGAAGTGCAAGCCATGGCACCTCAGGCTGAACATCTGGGAATGCTGCAAATGGAGCTGCACATAAGTGCTGAGGAAATTTCAGCTGCTGCAGAGTCTGGCCAGGTCTTTGTGTGTTCTGCCACGGTGTTCTTCATATTAGGCACAATTCAAAACCTCATTTCTACATCTATGACATCCTGTATTACTCAAAACTTGTCTGGAGGAAATCCAAATACCACTATTCATAAAATAGCAATGAAATACTTAAGTCCATCACTTGCAAACAATGCCAGGGCAATCTTTAGGCCAAGTGTTTTGATATTTCTTACATGTGAGGCATTGAGTATTTCTGAGATTGTGTAAGGAACATCACTGTATAGGGACATACCTGACCTTCACTGAATAAAAATATGAACTGACACACACCATTTTTAACTGAAGTATGAGGTAGTGATAAAATATTTACTATGGGTGGAAAGCAACTTTTACTTTAACCTATTATTTTGCTTACCTTGTAGAGAAAAAAATGAGGCATGATAAATTTACGGCCAGAAGATCAGAGGTGCAAGATTAAGATGGATCTTAATATGTGTTGCTTCATATTTGTATTGTATTTATTAGCTTATAAAATTAACATGCATATTAAAATTTTCATCCTGATAACAACTGCTGTGAATTCACTGACTGTGCTTTTGTTTGTGATAAGCACCAGAGTCACTGGAGATTAAACTCTGGTCTTCACCGTCCAAAACAAGAATCATGTTTTAGAAAACATCTATGTGAAATTCTATCAGCAAAATGAACACTGGCCTGCAACATTTTAATAGCAAGCAGTGAAGTAACTTGACCTCATCTACCTTGGGTTCAAAATGTAACCTTTAAATACAGTTTTACAGATTACCTTATAAATTTGAAGCACACAAATCTTGAATTCTGTAGAATGCATTCTAAAAGGCACATAAAGGGCATAATCAAATCCATTAAGACCATCATTAGCAGAATAACAATGTTATGTTACAAAGCTCTTCAAGTAAAAAGTTAATGTTCTTTTTTTCTGTGAAAAATTCTAGAAAGCATAAAATTAAGTTCTAGCACAGCACTTCGATTTCCTCAAGTTCATTTTCCAAGGTCAGAGTACAGTTTGACTAGGGTAATCTGTAATAGAGGAAACTCCCAGAAAACAAAGAGCATTGCCAAGAATCCAGTTATTTATCAAGGCAGTGGTGATGTATTTCACTTCCAGCTGTCCACACTAAAAACCCAGAAAAAGTCAGCTTTAAGTAAATTACTTAAGTATTTACTTTAAGTAAATGTAACAGATAAAGCACATGTATATAAGGTTAAAATGCACTCCTCTCAGTGAATTAGACATCCACAAAAGCTGCCTTACCCCAAATAACTGTCCCAGGTTTATGGAGCTAGAACTGATGCCTTGAATTCCCAGCTGCCCACCACAATAAGAAATGTGACCACAAAATGTGCATCACTGCTGCAGGAAAAACTGCATTTACTTTTAGAATCACAGAGGTGCAAATACTGATTTTAAAAATACTGCCATTTTGAAATTGATCCTATACACTGTTAGTTACTTTTGAAATATATATATATGGTATATTTTATATACCAGTGTGAGCTTCTTTCTTATATACAGAAAACTCAGAGAATGTAAGGAATTAAGCACCAGGATGCCACCAGAAATTGACTGCCTTCATAACAAAACCAGAAGAGGCATTTTGGTATAGAAAAAAATCAATCTGGCATTCCTGCTTTTAGACCATCAGGACTTCCCATCAGTCATAGAAACAGTCTAAAACTGGCTGGTTCAGCTAAAGATCTAAAACAGGAAAAGTACACATAGAAACAATTCAAAACCTGTTAAGATAAAGGAGTCTAAAATCAGCTACAAAGACTTGTTACAAGCCAAGTCTGAGAAAGAAATAATACTTTGGTTACAGAGTGATTTAGCAATTAATGAAATTACACAGGTCTTTGTACAATTAGTTAAACTGACCTTGCAGGTCTACTAAACTGAAAACAACTACTATGAAAAAAAAATTAAAATCTACACTACTATGCATTCTTTGCTAAAAAAAACCACCAGCTGTTATTTTATTAAATTTAAAGACTTTATCCTCCTTGAAATCCACAGCTAAACAACAGGCCATTTGAGACACTAGTTCAAAAGAATGCTCAGCTTGAAATAATTAACAAAAAAGTTTGAATAGTTTCACGTATTAGTTACTACAAAGTTTTGACAGTGAACACATATTAGGATTTTTTTTAAAAATTGTTTCCCCTCAAAGATTTGCACCCATGAAGTAACTGACTATACCTTAACAACAACAAAACCTGCCCAATACAGAAGTTATTTCCAATGTAGCAACAACAATAAAAATATTTCTGATTTTTGAAAACACCACAATCATTTGAGCTAAGCATCACTGGGGGCAAAAGCAGCAGTTCCACAGGATGAAAAGAGTATTTTTCCAACAGCAATCTACAAAAATCCACACACTGCTGTATGTTTACATAAAATTGCAGTAAAATTTCTCCTTTAACTAACTTGCTTTTCCAACAGATTTCACATGAAACCATGCAAATATGGCATTCTTGAAAAGGGGAACTGTTTATTAATTTTCCAGAAATGTTTAGAAAGTGATGTTTTCATGCAAGTAGCCTGCTTGATTTAGGAAGGAAAGCTGAGAACTGAAAAGGCAAAATGGGAACAGCAGAGTTGAGGGCTGAGATGATTCTGCTCAGCCACAAACTCAGGTCTAACAGTCTGCAGGTCGTGCAAGTGGTTAATGGCCTCCATTAATGTAGCAAACCTGACACAGAGGATGAGGAGAAGCTACAAATTATTACAACAAAAAACAAAGAATGATGTTTGCCTGCAGCACATGATTTAACATGGGCAAAGGTTGGAAACATGAGTAGCAGAGGTTGGAAACTTCTCCTTTCTGATTTTCACCATTGTAACAGAACTAGATTAACACATGTAACATTTTCATTTCCATCCCTCAGTAATTACCAGCACCAATTACCATACCAAGAGTCATACAGTGATTACATTATAATGAGAGCAGTGAAACAGAAGGATTTAACACCACTGTTTGAAAGGGTATGAACAGTAAGTCACAGCATCACTGTGCCACACTTGGGACAACCACCACCACACCAGAAAGCACAAGGCTGTCAACAGTTAACCAACACCTAAAAGCAGACCCTGCTTTGCCTACAACCAAATGCTTCTCAACATGTTCAAAGTCCACTTGTATTATTTTTAACTCGAATGGATAAAACCCAAAGATTCCTGCAGACACCAATCACCTTTCCTAACTATGCTCCTTAGGTAACAAACCGAGCACTGCGGGCCACGTGCATTCTCCACAAGGCACTAATTAGGAATTCCTAGCAGGACCAAAAAAAAAAAAACCCTCAAAAAACCAAATCCAAACTTTTCAAAAGTAACTAAACAGGTTAAACAACACACTCAGACTTCTATATTGCCATGACAATTCAGCATGCATTCACAAGATAGCAATCTTCAAGGTTTTAAATCAAAATCTTTAATCGAGTCAGAATGGTCTGTATGGAATTCACAGAATCCCAGAATGGTTTGGGTTGGGAGGAACCTTAAAGACCATCCAGTTCCAAATCCCTGCTATGGGAAGGGACACCCCCCACTAGACCAGGTATTAATTCTTAAGTGCATTAATGAATCAGGCAATTAAGAGAGAGCATTAAAAAAGTACTAGTTGCAGAAAAAAAGTCCACCAAGTTCTATTAAACAAAAGGATGTAGATACCATTCCACATTTATGCTAAGCCAAGGAAATTCCAGAAACTGGGAAAGCAGACTGGAGGGAAAGGGCTGCTCTTCCCTGCTTTTGCATCTTTCTCAAAATGAGCAAGCACCATAAGACCCTTCAGGATAGATCCATCTTTCCCTAAGACAACTCGACTCTTCAGTAAATCAAACACACAAACAGCCAACAACACACCACAAAGAATAAAAAAGTCATTGAAAAAGCCCTTCCCTTCCCAAACGTTCATACCTGTGGAAGTGCAGTATTGAGCTGCCTCTGCAAGGAATCCCTCTCATGGCCAACCTCATGCAGCTTGCCCTGGGTGAGGGCGAGCGTCTCCTGAGTTTCTCGGAGCGTTTCCAGCAGGCGATCCCTCTCTTCCAGCATGGACACCATTAACTGCTCAAAGTGGGAATCAGCATCTGACTGCAACGGGGAACCTGAACCGTGGCCTCCATTTCCCCCGGCGGGAATCTCGGCCTCACTGATGGTTGGCATCACCTCACACATCATCTTGAAACAAAACGAGACACAACAAAGGCCAGAAATCTCGGTCAAACAAATCTAAACAGGAGCTTTGAGTGCTGCCCGTAATACCCACTTAGCTCTCCCCACGATAGCATCAGCAAAGGCTGCCAGCACCTTGGTGTTTGCCACTATTTCATTAAGAGAGGAGAAAAGGTACACAGTCAACTTAATCAAGGCTTTGCTTCATAATGAGAATCTTGTGACCTCTTGCAAAACCAGATTTTTGCAGCTACGTCTCAAACTGTGACTTCATTTTAATGGATTTATGTTTTTGTGAGGAGTAAACTGCTGCCGAGATCTTTTTAAAAAATCCAAAGATAAGGCATGCAGCCTGACACCAAAAATTATACACTTCACCCAGCAAATGATTACACTGCACATTTTGGGAAACATTATATGCTTCTTCCACTGCTTCAAACGTACAAAGATCGTATCTACACCAGTACTTTGCGCTTGTGTTGGCTGTAGAAGTTTTATGATGGTGAAAGTGATGTATGGTAAATCCAAACAGTCCAATTCGGGAGATAAAAACATGTAAAGGAAGATAAAAGACCAGTACTTTGCTCTTGTGTTGGCTGTAGAAGTTTTATGGTGGTGAAAGTGATGTATGGTAAATGAGTGGTAAATCCAAACAGTCCAATTCGGGAGATAAAAACATGTAAAGGAAGATAAAAAGCACTGGATTCATTATGAAGTAGTAGCAGCTGTCAATGTGGACAGCAAAAGTAAAGGTAAGCAAAAATAATTAAAGGCAGAGGATGAATATAGTTAGCAATGCAAATAGGAGCAGTGCACTACTGGAAGTGAGCACACTAAACTGGAGCACCTTTGAGAGACCCTAACAGATCCCTGCCAGAGCTAAGGCGTTAAGGTTTTAAAAACCATGGGAAAAAACTACTCATATAATCACTGAACCAACAAGAAAGTTCTTCAGGCAACCTCCCTCAAAAGCACAAACCTACAGAATGTAAGGCAAAATCAGGAAAAATAGCCCCCCAAACCACTCGTGTACCACAAACTTTGTTCTCGGCCTTAAATGTCACACTCACATCTGGAAATTTCAAAAGAGCAATTCATTCTTAGTTTTACTGTGAGTCCTCTCCATGCTCTGAAAGACTTGGAACAATCTGAAGTGCTTTGTAACATTTTCATGCATGATTACGATAAGCCCTGAATTTTCACCACTACGTTGTTTACCTTGCTCAATAAAACGAAAAGGCTTGGAAAACAGGCCCCAGGTTTCCTGCAGCACCAGTTCTTCTCTGTATTAGCAGTTTTCTGTTATCCCCCAAAACCCTTCGGATTGCAAAGCACCCATCCAGCTCCAGTCCAATGACTGTTTAATCAAAACACATGAAAAAAAAATAAAAAACCTGCCGAGGAAAGAGCAGATCCAGTAAAAAGCAGCAGCTTCAGCTATCTCGTGAAGTCCTCGGCACAGAAGAATGTGAAAATAAACTGTCTCAGCTTCCCATCCCTCTATTACTGGCCCATAGGTCCTGCAACAGCTGGGATAGAGGAATCATGTGGTGACCAAAAAAAAAAAAAAAGAAAAGTAGTCCGATGCAGAGATTGGAGAAGCTTCAACACTTCATCGCTCATAAATTCCACTCAGGTCACAATCGCATTATTAAACAGAGTACGGACAGCAGGGGAAAACAGCATGAGCTTTCTTGTAGAGGATTTGGAAAAGCCTCCCTTCTTTTCTCTTATATTAATTCCAACGGGAAGCTCTCCTTCCCGTTCCCTGCGTCTTAGTTCAAACATTTATAATCCCAAGAGCAAGGCGCTGGCGTCGCTTTGGCAGGCGAGCAGGGAGCGAGACCTGTTGTTTCCTCTGCACTAGTCCCGCAGACGATGCTCCGCAAAGAAAGGACTCGGCAGCTCCGGGGGCACCGGCCCGGTCCCCTTCCCTGCGGAGGGCCCGGCTAACAAAGCGGGCGGAGGACGCGGGGCTCTCCCGCTCCCCCGCTCCGTCTCGGGGAGCACCGGGCCGGGCCTCCCTCCTCGCCTCGCTCGCTCCCCGCCGAGGCCCCAGCGGCGCCGGCAGCGCGGCCGGCCCGGGCCCGGCGCAGCCGCTGCGGAGCGAGGCCTCCTCCCGCCGCTCCCGGCGCGCTCCGCGGCCCCGCATAAATCAGTGCGGCGCCCACAATGCACCGCGCGGGGCGGCGCGGCCACTCCTGGCCCGCTCCCCGCCGCCGGGGACCCGAGTTCGAGACCCGCTCGGCGCTGCCTGCCCTGTGAGCGATACCGCCGCCGCCCACGCTGCCCGCTCCGGGGGAAAGGACGGGAAAGCGACAGCGGAGCCCCGGGGCGGGAGGCGTGCTGGCTGAGGACTGGGAACAGGGCAGGGCTGGAGTGGCCCCGCAGTCGCAGCCCGTGCTGGGGCCTGCGTGTGGCGACAGGGCCCGGCCGGGCGCGGGGCGAGATCGCTGCCCGAACCCGCTCCCAGCGCCTCGGCGAGCCCAGAGGCTGGGAGCTGCTCTGGGCACCTCGAATCGAAAGGCCATTGAGGGGCTGGAGCGAGTCCTGAGGAGGGAATGGAGCTGGGGAAGGATGTGAAGCACCAGGAGAGGCTGAGGGAGCTGGAGAGGCTCAGCCTGGACAAAAGCGGGGGATATTATCACTCCACAGCTCCCTGAGAGGAGGTTGTGGCCAAGTTGGTCTCTTTTCCCAGACAAGTGACAGGACAAGAGGACTTAGTCTTGAGCTTCCAGGGGATGTTTAAGATGGACGTTAGGAAGAATTTCTTCCCAGAAAGGGTGACCAGAGTTGGAATGAGCTCCCAGGCAGGTGCTGGAGGCACCATCCCTGGATGTGTCTAAGGAAGGACTGGATGTGGCACTCACTGCCCTGTCCTGGTTGACACCGTGGTGTTTGGTCATCGACTGGACTCAATGACCCCAGAGCTCTTTTCCAAGTTAATCCATTCTGTGATTCTGTGGAGCTGCCAGGTCCCCAGCACAGCAAGAGGCAACTTCTCTGACATAGCCTGCTCTCCACAGGAAACTGGGTTTGGCTACGTTGACTATTATTTTTCCAAAACACCATAGAAATATTTTTCCACTTGCATTTCTCTAGCTTTTTCTCTCTTCCTGGAGCCTTCACCGTGCCCATGAGTTGAAAGTTGAAACCTGCCAGGCAAAGCTTAGAAAACTCTCTTTCCTCTCCACATTTGTGCAACCACCCTGAATAAAGTATCTGCATTTTGGACCTTATTGTTGCTTTTACAGTGGAAAGCTCTAAAAGGCATCAAGGGCCAGTTAGGCAGACAGAGGCAAGTCATGCCAAAAAGTGGCAATTCCTGCACAGAAGGTTTTGCAGATTTGTGGCTGGATTATGTGGATTAATTTGTAAACACGTCTCAACACCTAGCACTGGATAGAAAAGATCACTAATGAGTCAGTCTTCCACATATGAAATTCTTTACAAGTTTACGACATTGTGCTCTTTCCCTTTGGTATCTGAGCCTTTAGAGTGAATTCAAGACTCATTTTTTAAGTTTTCCCTGTACAGCCATGAGGTGTAGATTACTTTTTTGTTTTCCCTCCTGAAGTTTCTAATGTAATCCTATGACTCTGGGAACTGGAACTTTGAGGAAAAAGTCAAATACGATGAGGCACATTCAAGTCATGAGTTCTGCCAAATACAGATCAGCATAGATTTAATGCTGAATGTCTGAATAACTGAGGTCTAACTTTTCAATGTAGGAAGAGTAGCAAAAATATTCCAAAATGAGCTGTTATGAATTAACCTGTACATAGGTAAATGCTTTTATTTATAAGCTTTGATCCAGATTTTCAGTGGATGTAGAAGACTTCAGGCTAAACAGCTGCCAGGGCAGCATCTTCAAAATAACCCGCTCCAGCAATACCAAAACAAGGCTGGAAAATAAAGTGGAGTGCATGGCTGTGTGAACAAACACCATTCCGCTTCAGTTCATCACACATAAAAAGTGAAAATTAATGTTAGTAGAAAGACTGATTTGATTTGTGTTTAACATGTGAGTCAAATGGAGACTTTGTGGATGAAAGGGCAAAAGGTTAAAGACTGTAATGGGCACAGAGTTGATAATCTCTCTCAAACTGGACACTGCAATATATCCAGTCAGATTAACTGATCTCAGACCCAGGTCATGTGGAATAAATTAATGAACCTCAGTATACATGTAGATCCTAAAACATTGAAAAACATTTTCTCTCAGCCTGAGATGCCTTGGGACATGTGTTTTTCTTTTGAAACTAAGTTTTGTTTTGTCCTTAAATAGTTAAAAAAAATGAAGATTTCTACCATGCTATAATCCTGCTTCATTATGAGGACCCTAGCACACAATCCTGAATTGAGACTAAAAATGGATGAACTCTTGTGTATTAATTTTCACTTCACCCAATTTGTTGACAAGGCACAGACACTCGCATTCAGCTTGCTCATCTCCGTGTTTGGATTTCCCATCCAAGAGGCAGGAGGTTTTAGCTGCAGACCCTCCTCAGCCTCAAGGAGTTGTCACCTTTATCTCTGTCACCTTCGAATCACTCTGTACACAAGTTTCAGAGGAGGGTGGGAATGCCAGTGGTTAGGCACTTTCTTGAGAAATGGGTTTCAGCCTCAGGTGGGAACAGAGTTCCCACAGCATATAAATGTCTGCTACGTGAGAAGGAGGCACTGTAAAGAGCCAGGTATTTATTCATGCCCAAAAGGATGGCTTAGTCCAGGAGGGAACCTACATCCAGAATATCCTAGCTAAGGAATATGCCTCCCATGTGTCATACTGCAAATACCTTCCTTAGGCACCACACTGTGACTGTCACGCAGAGCCCAGACTGTGGATACGGCAGAGTTCCTTAGGTGCCCCAAAAATATTTGAAAGGCCTGATTTTAAAGCTGATGCTACTCCCCTGTGCAGTCCACCAAAGCTCCTACCAGATCAGTGGGGAAGGCCAGGACTTGAAATTCTAGCGAAAAAAAGTGAATAACCAGGTCTTTTGCAACATGCTCCGTGCTGCACGAAATGCAGGTGGAATGGTAAAGTCAGAAATCCCAGGCTCTGCAAATACCAAAATATTTCTCAGTCCTATTTACTTTGTAGTACAAGGAAAACAGTTTCTTTTTCTCCCGGGCATGTAACCCGGGATATACCATCCGACATGAAGAGCACCAGCAGCTCAGATCTTTTTAATTAAATGAGTGTGATGTCTCTTTTGTAAGTTCAGCAAGAGGTCTGGCTCCCTGTCCATGTCATTTAGTGAGATGTAACACTTGTGGATGTGTCTGGAAAGAGCCCCACATACATCAGCTGACAGCAAAGTAATCAGTCCAGAGACCCAGGTTAAATCTCTCTCCACTCTTTACACCTCAAAAACCACACACTGAAATTCAAACAAAGGCTGTTAAAAACGGGGGGTGGGGGGAGGAAGGTTTCCTTTCCTGTCACATGATAAATTAGATCCTAATGTTTATCCAAGCTCAGCAAAGCAGCCGGCTCTTCCTGCCAGCCCGTGCTGGGGGTGAGGTGGGGTCGGGCCGGAGCTGCGCTGCCCGCGGGCTCTGAGGACAAACGCCTGCTGCCCAGCGCAGCTCGCCCTCTGCCCGCTGAGGGCTGCACGCTTCACTGCTGCCGAAATTTCCTTTGTGAGCCTCAGAGCCACCCCACGCTAGCACAAAACCTCTGCTGAAAATAGTCCAAGATCGCCTACGCAGTCTTTTTTCCCCTCCCGAGTCGAGCTGATGGTACCTTATTTAATCCTTGTCCTTTACAGATGACTTAATGACTTAGCAGCAAAGGGCATTTTGAACACATTTCAGGCATTTCATACCGAAGTGAATAGATGCAAGAACACGATTTTTGCCAGCAGCACTGATTATCCTTTTGTCAGTAGATAGACGTGACCTGGACCATTCTGTTGCCATTAAAAAAAAAAAAGTCTCCAGAGGTTGCTAGACAGAGGAGGCACTTTGCCTGAGGGAGAAGGAATGAGAGGGAAGAGGCTGGAAGGTGGCCTGTGGAGAAGAGGACAGAGGTAATTAATGGTTATGCCCATGTATAAAGATAAGCGCACCAGTAAATGTGTCAGCCCTTGGGCAATGGAAGCCACGACTTCTACAAACCCCGACACAGCACAGTCCTTTACATTGACATTTTATTTATACCATGTGGGTCTACACGGATCTGTGACGGATTCAGGCAGGTGTAAATCAAATGGGAATTGGCTGCTCTGAAACCGAAGAGGGTTTTTGAATTGGACTTAGGAAGAAAAGTCTCTACAAAGCAACTGAAGACCTGGAGAGGACTCTTAAAAGAACAGATGAACTTACACAATTTATTTTAGTGGGAATCATACCTATGTCAAGACCATAAATGTTTTTCTAATATAGCTGTCACTCCTGCAACCAAAACCACACATTCTCACTCAAGTACAAACCTGCTGAACTCAAAAAGGCTTTCAGCTTAGTTTCAGCTTCAGTTGTGCAATTTGCAGTTCAGAATTATTGCACCTGCTGTCTTTTCTGTATGGATTTACAGCAGCAGAAATCCCCTTGAGCTAGAAAGAATTTCTAAAGCCAAGTGTCATTTATTTCAATCAGAAATGAAATACACCCCTAATATCCAATTCAAACATAGTACATTCCCTCAGTGTAGACTGATTTCAGCACGTCTTCAGATAGTTTATAGCTATAATGAAAGGTATCAAGCTAAAAGTGCATTCAGTTGCAAGTTCAGGGCAATAGAGCTCTACATTATTTAGTTAAATATTTTTAAAATTATAATATTTTTCTGAAAGGCCATATTCATGTGATGTAGCTGTGAATAATATTGGAAGAAGAAGAAACTGAAGGATTCAGAACCAGCTGAATCCTTCAGTTTCCAGTGATAATGCAGCTCTTGCCTAACTAGAACAGGTCTGGATACATTCCACCTGGCTGACCACCTACAGCATGAACCCATTTACCCTGGCTTGCCTCTGTAATCAGTGGAGCCAGAGAGCCACTCCATGGGAGGAATGATTCAGAGCTTTGGTGTGGTCCATGAATCACCTGCTCCAGGTGCCTGTCTGTTCCCATTGGCTCCAGAGGGAGCCCAGGGCAGCTGGA